CTGCTATTACCATATGAAACAACAAGTCCCCGACTCCATTAAAGGGCAGGCTAAGTCGGAAAAAGGAAAAGGAGGACTGGCAAAAGAAAGGGTTGCCGGCCCTTTAATTTTGAACAAGCATGAGAGGGAAAGTTTCCCTTTCAGTTTGAGGTCTTCAGTGGAATCCAAATTGCCCACACGTCTGGCATTTCTTCCTCTCTCTCTTACACAGACCGTTATCGTTACATTCTTGGCATGCAAAAAAGGCATATAACTAGTCATAGGAGCAAGGATTTCAATGCCAGGGCAATACTAAAGCAATTACACTTAGAAACTAGGTGCTAGATTCTAGGTCGCACCTCTGGAGGGAAGCAGCAAAGGCACAGGCCAGGAAGAGGGGGAGCAGATGGTGCCACTTCTGTGCTCCCTGGACTCTAGACTGCAGCAGAGACCAAAACGGTGTCAGTTAGCGCAATGCCTGGGGTATGCTGTAACTTAGGGCAGCCTTACCCAGGCTGCATATGGGCTGCTCCCAGCCTAGAATCTCCATAGCTCTAAGCACTAGGAGCATGTCCCCTCTCCCAGCCTCATTCTGCCCACTACATCCCCTGTATGCCAAGCTCTGAGGGGTGACAGAGTAGGGCTACTGCGCTGTTCCTGCATCAGAGGAATTTTTTCCTAGCACCTTGTGATCTCTTGATGCTGATGGAGCAGTAGACAGAGCCTGGAGTTGGAGGCCAGAATCTAGCTCAGTGCATAAAATACCTGTCTACAGCCCTGTATTCACACATCACGGATCTCTCCGAGGGAAGCCGTTCACACCTAAGGCCAGGCCAGCACGTCTCTTGGACACCCCTTCCAAATGGTGGATTTCACCAAGCTAGAACTTATTACACTGAACAGCAAAATATAGCAAGCGATTGTTGCGGGAAGTGGGGCAGGAAAATTCCTTGATTTATTTCCCTCACACAGCCCACGTTGTCCATGCAGCCCAGGGCAGCTGAGGGCTGCTCTTCTGCAGCTTCTTGGCGGTGGCTGCTGGCCAGAGATGGCTGCACAAGTGGGGAGCGGTGTGAGTCCGTGTGTGGAGAGTGCTGAATCCACATTGGAGACACGATATTCTTACTTTTTAAGGGTTTTTCCACTGGCTTCAATAGGCACTGGATTGGGCTCAATTTTCAAAAGCACTTATGGGATTTAGGAGCGTGAGTCCCATTGAATTTCACTCCTGCCACTCATCCCAGTGTTATTGGGATGACTCATTTCCATCATTTCTTTTATACATTCAGGGCATGGTTTTCAAAAGCACCTATCAGATTTGGGAGCATGAGTCCCGTTGACTTTCAATGTGACTTCCGCTCCTAACTCCATTAGCCACCCTAGGTGCTTTTAAAAATCTGTCCTAAGTGCATAAACCCCAACATGGGCCATCTCAGCCACTTGGCAGGAGCTGAATTCTGTGATCCCCACATACTGGACTCAAAATGAGTTGCTGAAGCTCCTGGTTTCAGATACATTATGGAGGTGACACATGTTCTGGCTCTGGAGAAGAGAAGGAGAAAATAGTTTCATACCTACACAAGTGACTATTTCAACATAATTCATGGAATGGGCGAATATTCAAATATTGCTTTTTTATAATATTTGTTATACTTTTATCAGCTGTACACAGTATAGTCATGTTATGTGTTTAGGAAAATGTTCATTTACCCAATGGGTTCCACAACCAGATGGTAAACTTTGATTATATTTTTTTTAACGTGAATGATGCCAGATAGAATTCACTGGAAACTGACAGCCTCTACTTATCTGTATAGCAGCTACAATACAATGCAAACCTCCTCATACGCCACAGCCCAAATGACTTCCTCTAGGTATGTCATAACTATAAAGGGAAGGGTAATAGCTGTCCTGTGTACAGTACTG